CTCTAGTCTTACACTGCTAAATTAGGGACGGCTAGCGCAGATAGACCTCGTGTAGCTTTGCGCGAAATTCAAAAACAAACAAACAAACGATTAGGCTGAGTTAACTCGGTTGTGGTTGTCAGAATTTCCGTTTTGGTTTCTTCCTCCACAGCTTCAGTACTATGTGTTTGTCTTGTGGTTGCCAAACTTTCAGTTTTCGTTTCGTCCAGAACTTCAGTACCATGCTTAGCCAATATTCTGTATTTATCTGCATGCCTGTTTTGTGTTAATAAAGTGAGTTTATTTTTTTTTGTCAACATTTGCCTCCCCCACCCACCGTAACTCAGGCTATGAATTAAAACTGTAATAAATTTATAAATTTCGTTACTATTTAACTATATAAGATACTGAGCTGTATAATAGCTTTATTACATAACCTTCTCCTTTAACTTAGGATTAACGAATACTACTTTATTTTAAATTTAAAACCAAGGTCAGAATGACAATACGATCTGGAAAATAACTAATTCATATGTTAATTATATAGTATCCATCTTGACTGGACACTGACGTTAAGAAATAGCATAGGATGCACTACATGCTAACTACATTTTGCAGACCTTTACTACCATACCAACAGTTTACGTAGAAGAGCGAGAAAACCCTTTAAAAAATAAGCAAACAAAATAAACCTCCTTCAACAATCAAAGCCTTAACTTCTGTATGCGAAATCAAACTTTAAACTACAGTAAACCTTATACACTCAAAAAAGCACGTTAAACTCTAAAAATATATGAAATATAAAATGAATAACTTATATACATTAGTCACTAGAACTCACTCTACAAACGGGTAATATATACAAATGTGCAAACAAAGAACCCTTTACTTGGTATAAAGTCAAGACATACAGCAAAACCCTTTATAGGTTAACTGAACAGGGGGAATCACACAGAAAAGGAAGAAAGAAGTTATGTAAATAAGGCTCACAACAACTAAAATTAAGATCTCAAAATGGAAGATAGCATAAAATTGCTGTATAAATTTTAACAAAATTAAAAACTCTTATTAATAAAATAGGTTCTAAATGACTTAGAACTTATATAGACATAAATACATGTAAAATAAAAGACAGGAACTATACGAAACATAAATATTTACAAGTTAAAATCTCTTCAAAGTTGACCTTTTGGATGACTTTTAGTGACCCAGACCAGGGGCGGGTTCAGGGTCAAACGGGCCTGAGGCTAAATGTTTCTACCAGGC